ATCCACCTACCTGAGCCTCCCAAAGTGCTGGAATTACAGGTGTGAGCCATCATGCCCAGCTGGGATAGATGTTCTTGTTTCTACATGTTACAAATGAAGGAGATCCAGCCATCCTTCCAAATAAGGAAGTAGGATACAAGTCCTACCTTTTGCCCAAAGTACATACTTTTAAATTTCCCTTTGTGAAGGTCTGTTAATGTTTTTATTTTGCCATCATTCATAAAATATGAGTGCAGACAGATCCCTAAATAACAGCATTTTAGGCTTTTTACAGTTCTTATATGAAAAATGAGGGTGCCATGAAAAAGTACACGAATGTATATATTTAGCATTATTCACTAACTCTCCAATAATCATGAACTTCTTTATTTCTCCTTGTAGTTCTGTCAATTTTTTATGTATATCTTGAGGTATTTTTGTATAGTGCTTATAAATTTAAAATTATTATTTCTTCTCAGTAAATGAATCTTTATCATAATAACTTATTTCTTTTTCCCTAGTAAGGCTTTTCACCTGGGAGTCTATTTTTCCCCTAGATATTAATGCAGCTCTATCAGTTAGCTTTCTTTTGCTCCAGTTGCATAGTATATTTCCCCCTTTCTTTAACTTTCAAATTTTCTGTATCTTATGTTTTAGATGAATGTATTGAATGGAATACATTTGGATTTTTAAAACTTTACACTGATAATCTTTCTTTTTAATTAGAGCATTTAGTCCATTTACATTTAATGTAATTATCGGTATACATACTTTGGTGATAAAAATATTTAACAACTCTCAGGGTGCTTTGCGAAGTTTGCAATTCTCACAAATGACCATGAGAGGGCGACTCCAGAAGATGCACAGGCATTTATAGCCTTGAAGAGACAGGAGAAACCAGGCATTCACTCTCTGGGGTTCTACTACTACTTCTGAGGTTCTTCCCTGCAATGTCTGGGCAACATCTGGGCAGGGGAGAACAAGAATATGGGCTGGAGGATAGGAGTGTGGTGGGCTGGGGGACAAAGGAACAGTCCCACGGGGTTAGGGTGCCTCAAGGCAATGGCTATTTACCAACTCAAAAACAAAAATTCAGGATTTCAATAACCAGCACTGTTATACAGGCAATTCAGAATGATATCAGATCAGACTTGTTAATATACTGGGTGTAAATCAACCATTTACTTTGTGTTATTGTGTTGGGTTTTAAAGCCTGTTATTAATAAATATATTTATTTATTTATGCTTTTTTTAAAGACAGGGGCTTTCTTTGTCACCAAGGCTAAAGTGCAGTGGCACGATCATGACTCACTGCAGGTTTGATCTTCCTGGGCTCAATCGATTCTCCCAACTCAGCCTCCCCAAGTAGTTGGGACTACAGGTGTGCACCATGCCCTGCTATAGTTTTGTATTTTTCGTAGAGACTGGGTTCCACCATGTTGCCCATGCTGGTCTCAAACTGCTGAGCTCAAGCAATCCACCCACCTGGCCTCCCAAAATGCTGGGATTTACAGGTGTGAACCATCATACCTGGCCATGTTTACTTTCTTCCCTGATAGTATAAGGGCCTCCCAACATCTTAATTCCATTTACCCTCAACCTCTACTAACTTAATGTTGTATACTTTAATCCTTCATATATTTTTAAATCCATAAAATTGTTTGTATTGTCTTTTGAAGACATCATCTATTAAGACCACCTTCTTTTCTCTTCATATAATCTTGCAGCCCTGTTTATCTGAGATCATTTTCTTTCTGCTTGAAGTACATGCTTTACAATTTCCATTTGTGAAGGTCTGTAAATGTTTTTATTTTGCCATCATTCATAAAAGATGTTACTCTGAGGACAGAATTATAGGTTGCCAATTAATTTCTCTCAACACACGAAGACATTTTTCCACAATTGTTCTCTGGAAGCTGTCAGTCTGTTACTTTAAGTACAGATGTTCCTTGACTTATGAAGGGGCTGCAACCCAATAAATCCACTGTAATTTGAAAATATCCTAAATTGAAAATGGATTTATTACACCTAACTTACCAAATGTCATCGTTTAGCCTAGCCTACCTTAAACATTATCAGAACACTTACATCAGCCCACAGTTGGGCAAAATCTTTGAACAAAAAGCCTATTTTATAATAAAGTGTTGAAGATCTCATGCAATTTATTAATGTTCTGCTGAATGAGTGCTGCTTTGCATCAACATAAAGTCAAAAAAATCATAAGTCAAACCATCATAAACCGGGGACCATCTGTAATGTGCCTTTTCTCCTCTTTTTCTTTCTAAATAACACTATTGTGTCTTGCTGTGGAATTATTTTTATTTATCCTGCTTGAAATTTGCTGAGCTTCTGTTTTTGTGGTTTGGTATCTTTGTGAAAGAATCATTTCTTCAAGTACTGTCTCTGATGTATTCTTTTTTTACCTCTCTTTTTTGAGAATCTGATTAAATGAATGTTAGACCTTCTCCTAGGATCTAACAAACTTTCCTGCACCTCCAATCTTTTCCTCTCTGTGCTTCGTTTAGGATAAACTCTTCAGCTGTACCTGTCATTTCATAAATGTTTTTTCAGCTGTGTCCAATATGATGTTAAACACAATAATTTTGATCATTGTAGTTTTCATTTCTAGCAGTTGTGTTTGTTTTTTTTAAAAAAAAACTCATTTATGGTACATGGCTCATGCCTGTAATTCCAGCACTTTGGGAGGTTGAGGCGAGTGGATTGCTTAAAGTCAGGCATTTGAGACCAGCCTGACTAACCTGGCAAAACGCAGTTTCTACTAAAAATAAAAAAGTAGCCGGTTACGGTGGTATGGGTCTGTAATCCCAGCTACTCGGGAGGCTGAGGCAGGAGAATTGATTGAACCTGGGAGGCAGAGGTTGCAGTGAGTCACTATCATGCCATTGCACTCCAGCCTGGGCAAAAAGAGTAAAACTCCATCTCAAAAAAAAAAAAAAATAATAATAAAAGAAAGAAAAGAAAATAAAAGAAAACACCTAGTTACATCACGTTTATAGTATCCTATTCTCTGTAGCTTTCTCCAAATCTGACTTTTTTCAATTTGATATGTATAGTTTTTAAAAATAATCTGATAATTCTATCTTTGAGTTTCTGTCTCCATTGTCCATTGTTCCTGTTTCACCTGGTTATCTTTGACTATGCACTATTATACAAAAAAATTATTTGAAGGATCATTTGAAGCCTAGGATCAAAGTGCCTTCCTTTACATAGAATTTTCTCTTATTTCTGGCATGTCTGGGATCACCATAAACCAAGTTTAAGGCTTGAGGTTTCCTGGAGGGCTGAGTTATTCAAGCTGCAAGTACTTGTAAGGGCTCACCTACTTGTAATTCATGTTTACCTAGAAGGTGTGGTCCTTTGGGGGATCTCAGCTTATTGTGGAGAGGGTCTACAGTTATACTCCCTATTCTGAGTGGCCCTGAGTGTTGATTTCTGTCTCCCTTGCCCCCACTAAGCTCTCAAAACCAGTTCCAAATTTGGCTGACCTCGCAAATATTCTCAGGATACAGGTGGCTTTGTACTCATTTACCTCTCTGGGTTTTCATTTTCCCATCAGTCTCTTTCTGGTAATTCCTTACTGTCATACAAACTCTTAGAAGGCCTTGAAAGACTGTAATTATTTAGTAGCTTTTAAGTTGTTTTCAGTAGAAAAGCTGGTCCAAATGACCTAGCCCATCATTACCGGAAACAGGACGCCATGTAACATCTTGTTACATGGCATACAGCAGGCACTCAATAAAGAATGGCTGAATTAGTAGAATTATCATAATTTCCCAAATGATATGGTTTGACCATGTCCCCACCCAAATCTCATCTTGAATTGTAGCTCCCACATTTCCCCTGTGTCGTGGGAGGGACGTGGTGGGAGGTAACTGAATCATGGATGGGGGTGGGTCTTTCTCATGTTGTTCTTGTGATAGTAAGTCTCAAAAGATCTGATGGTTTCATAAAGGGGAGTTTCCCTGCACAGGCTCTCATTCTCTCTTGTCTGCCATCAGGTAAGATATGCCTTTCACCTTCTGCCATGATTATGAGGTCTCCCCAGCCATGTGGAACTGTGAGTCCATTAAACCTCTTTTTCTTTATTAATTATCTGGTCTCGGGTATGTCATTATCAGCAGCATGAAAACGAACTAATATACCAAACATGCACCTTTTTTGGGGGGTCTGTCTTTATTTGCAGAGGCTGTTTCCTACTCTTAGAATATATTTCTCCTTCCCTATACCCAATCTGAGAATGTCCACATTCTCCCACTGGACCAGGCTCAAAACAAATGTGACCTCAAAGCTTTTCCTGTTTTCCCTCCTTACCCAAATCTGAATCCTATCTCTTCCTTCTCTAAACTCTCATGAGATTTAATATGTATCGTTCTCTGGGTACTTAACTAGAGAGCAATATATTTATGCACATGCTTATCTCTCCTATGGATATACACATTCTTATCATTTCTGGCTTCTAAAGAAACCCCTCACTTGCTCTCCAATTCAGCATAAATTACAGACAGATTTTTCTGAACATATATATCTAGTTCTTTTAGTTTTGGTCTACTAGGGGATGATTTTATGAACATTTAGTCTGCCATGCTGCAGGAAGCTGAATTTCATTTATTCTAATAAACTCTTCCATTTGTACAGCACTTTAGAGTTAATAAGGTGCTGTCACATATGAGTTTCTGTAAACTTTAGCAGCCTCTAACTTCAGTGCTGCTATCATCATGCTGCAAATGAGAAGTAGAGGACAGAAGAGCCTCAAAGCCAGAAATGGAACCCAAGTCTTTTCTCTCTAAGTCCAGGGCTCACTCCAGGACACCACAGGTGCTGCCTCTAAGATGTGTGCCGCTGGTGATTACTACTGCAACCACACCTGGGAAGCAGACATTCTGCACAGGAATGTATGTGTGGCACAGGATTCAGGTTGCAGGCAGTGGACGGAAGGATGGGCTACCTGAGGTTCCACGTATGCACTTCTCAGAGGTTCTGCTTTTTTTAGTCCTACTCACCTCACCACTTTGGTCCCATTTCTCACGACCTGCATGTCCACCATGCAGCCCCCTGTCACATAGGCCGCTAGGTTCAACTCTGAGAATTCAGCCTGAAGGAGAAAGCAAAACAAAAAAAGGATTCATCAAATACCATTGGTAGTAACACTGGTTAACACATACTAGGTATTTAGAGTTGCCAAATACACCTTTAAAGCTCACTTCAAACTTAGGAAGTTGGTGATATTATTTTCATCTTTCTTTTTGAAAGATGAGGAAGCTGAGGCTCTGAGAGGCCTGATGACAAGTCCAAGACAGCATAACTAATACAAGGCCAAATAGGATTCAAGTCCATGTGTCTCTGATTAAAGGACATATGCTTTTAATCCTTGCCAATTTCTGCCTCTTTTAAGGTGGAAGAAGCAACTACAGATCCAAGACTAGAATATGTCAGATGCTGTTCAGTGGGACATTTTCTCTAGATTTTTTTTTTACCTTCATATTCTACAGTAGTATGGCATCATGACTCCATGATAATTTATTGCTATTAATGGACTCACCCTCCACCCTGGTCATCTGCCCAGTTTTCTTTGCTTGGTAATGCTCCATCCATCTGGTTACAGCAGCAGCATCTTATTTGTTCACTGACATACTGCCCTTTTGGTCACAGTTGATGGGGTAAGCATCTGACGTGGAATGGAAGAATGAGCTATCCTTCCCTGAGAGTTTGAATTAATGAGTGAGTGAGTCATGCAGTTTCTTTCTCAGTGGTTGTATCTTTAATGCACAAACCTGGGTGCCATTTAGGACCATGTTCTCTGTCATCTGCACTGGGAAAGCACAGAAAACCAGGGTAGAGAGAGAGAGAGAGAGAGAGATAGAGAGGAAGAGGGAGAGAGAGGAATGTCATAGTCATCAAGAGAGGGGCAGGGGCAAGAGATGACGTTTATGTGCCAGCTACAGACCTGCTTTGGATTTTGTGAGTTCATCTTTTGGGTTGCCTATTTGTTTAAGCAAGCTTTTGTGGATTTCTGTTGCTTACAGCCAGAGTCCTATGGCATACATCTCTCTTACCAGATGACATGCTCCTTGGGATTTCTTGCTATGATCATCTGTCTTAGTCTCCCAGGGCTGCTTTAACAGGTGGATTAAAAAGCATAAATTCATTCTCCACAGTTCTGGAAGCTAAAAGTCCAAAATCAAGGTGCTGATAGGGCTGGTTCCTGCTGAGGGCTGTAAGGGAAGGGTGTGTTCCAGACCTCTCTTCTTGGCTTGTAGGTGGCCATCTGCTCCCTGTGTCTCCTTACATTGTCTTCCTTCTATATCCAAAGCTCCTCTTTTTATAAGGACACCAGTCATATATGCCACCTTCACTTCATTATTTTATTTATTTTATTTTATTGAGACAGAGTCTTGTTCTGTCATTCAGGCTGGAGTGCAGTGGTGTGATCTCAGCTCACTGCAACCTTCGCCTCCCGGGTTCAAGTGATTCTCCTGCCTCGGCCTCCTGAGTAACTGGGATTACAGGCACCCACCACTATGCCTGGCTAATTTTTGTACTTTCTGTAGAGACAGGGCTTCACCACGTTGGTCAGGCTGGTCTCAAATTCCTGACCTCATAATCAGCCCACCTTGGCCTCCCAAAGTGCTGGAATTACAGGTGTGAGCCACCATACCCAGCCCACCCTTAATTTAATGGCCTTACTTTGAGTTGATTACCTCTTTAAAGACCCTATCTCCAAATAAGGTCACATTCTACTGTGGGTTAGGACTTCAGCACATGAATTTTCGGGGTCACAAGTCAACCTGTAACACCAACAGCTAAAGTGCATAGCACCAAACTGTGCCTTATACACAGAAGATACCAAGAGCAATTTCTTTGTGTTTAATGGATAAACATAACCACTCACTTGTATAAGGCATTCACTATGTGCCAGGTACTGGCCTAAGCATTTTACATATATGAATTTATTTAATCCTCGCACTTGTCCAGTTGAGGAAACGGAGGCAGAGACAAATAATGTGCATGACATCACATAGTAGGTAGCAGATCTGGTTTTTAAAACCAGGCAGCATGGCTCCAGGGCCTGTGCTTTTAACTGCCACCCTCCATGGCCTGCACTGTTCAGCTGAATGAGGCATTTGGTGGAGTATAAATGGGAATTTTAGGGACCCAAAAAACAACCCATTTGAAGAAACAAGTTTACATTGAAGGGAAATATCATTTCATGGCAATTTAACTGTATCTCCTTGGAGTCATTTAACAGGAATTATGACCAAAGACCCAGCCATCTCCCCAGATAGCATTAAAGCAAACTGGGAGTACTTAGCCTCTTGCTGTAATTAATAACCTCATTATGCTGTGGCAAGGCGAAAAGATCACTCTGAATGAGTCCAGGTTAGTAAATAGTGGTAAGGACCTAGTTATTAAGTCTAACGCCTTAAAAAATTCAGTCCTATCACGTTCAAGATTCTTAGTTGGCAAGGTCACAAAGAATTAAGAAGAAAAGTTGTTGCTTATGTGTGCAGATAAAAAGACATTAGAAGAAAGTTGCAAAACAGGATACCTGGTCACCAAATATATGCAGAGAGGGAGTGAAACAGAATCTTGGAAGATAGAATCTCTGACCCAAGGGCTGTCTTGCTGCCCAAATGGAAAGAGAGATACCTGGAGAGAAGTCACACTCAGGCTTGGATATACAAGTTAGGGGTTCATCTCGTTCAGAGGTGGGTGTCTAGAGTTATTTCTCAGTTGTGGTTTGTGAATAATTACAGGAGATAACTGCCTGGGCTGCAAGGTAGCCAGCCTCTGTGGGATCAAGCAGAGAGTTGGCCTAGCAAAGAAAAGGGGCATTCTTCTGTATTTAACTGCCTAAAACCTTCAACACCATGGAAATGAACACAGAGGTGTCCAAACCACCTCCCCTTCAAGATAGCTTGATAGCTTTCATGGTAGAACATGGAAGAGCCACCATTTGGAACTTTCAGAGCTCTTGTAAAAACTGTAGTGAATGGAATTGTATTTCTCAAAAAGCTATGTCCAAGTCCTAATCTCTAATACCTGTGAATGTGACCTCTTTGGGAACTAGGGTCTTTTCAGATGTAATCCAGTTAAGGATATCAAGATGAAATCATCTTAGATTGGTGTGAGTTGCGGGGGAGGCACACCAAATCCACTAACAAGTCCTTAGAAGAGAGGAGACGAGGAAAAGACAGAAAGACACAGGAAAGACGACCACGGGAAGACAACAGAGATGGAGTGATGCTGCCACAAGCCAAGAAATGCCAAGAGTCACTAGAAGCTGGAGGAGCTAAGGAAGGATTCTCCCTTAGAGCCTTTGGAGGGTATGCACCTCTGCTGAAACCTTGATTTGGGAATTCTGGCCTCCAGAACTGAAAGAAAATAAATTTCTGTTGTTTTAAGCCACTCAGTTTATGGCAATTATTAGAACAGTCCTGGAAACTAGGAAACTAAAACAGTAACTCTGGGAATTGAATGCAATTTCAGTATCATACTGAAAGTCACCAGGGCTCAAAGAAGGTCAATGTGGCTGGGTAAAGCTCCTTTACCCACTTCACCAAACACAGGCACACAGAAATCGGCACCCACATTCATTCTCTCTCCTCCCCCTACACACACAAGAGTTAGTTATTCACCTGTATCACAAAAAGGCTATTATCAGAATTACTTGAATTTTCTGCATTAGCTAACCTTTTGACCTCAAATTATTTTGACCTCCACTGTTTTTTGAGTGATTTTTTTTTTCTTTTTTTGAGATGCAGTTTCATTCTTATTGCCCAGGCTAGAGTGCAATGGAGCGATCTGGGCTCACTGCAACCTCCGCCTTTCAGGTTCAAGCAATCCTCCTGCCTCAGTCTCCAGAACATCTGGGATCATAGGCATCTGTCACCTTGTCCAGCTAATTTTTGTATTTTTAGTAAAGACAGGGTTTCACCACATTAGTCAGGCTGGTGTCGAACTCCTGACCTCAGGGTGATCCACCCACCTCAGCTTCCCAAAATGCTGGGATTACAGGCGAAAGCCACCACACTCAGCCAGTGTGATATCATTTTAATACTACACATTAGGCACTGTATTATGGATAAATGAGTACTCAGAGAGACCACATTTACATGTAAGCTGTTTCATATATTAGCTGATGAGTTTAGTCAAGTTACTGATTTGAATATCAGTTTTGACATCTTTAAAATGGAGATAATATCAATAATATCTATCTTTAAATGTTTTTATGATGATTCAAGACAATGTATATGAAACATCTAGCACAAGGCTGAGACTCAGTAAATAGTTGCCATTATTATTTTCAAACATTCCACTGTCTTGGTCAGCTTAAACTGAAAGCATCGAAACTGGTATATACTGAAAAAGGACAAACTCCTTCAGGTGTTTATAACATATACATTTAAAATATATATTGAGGTGTAAAATGTAAAGACTTCTGCATGTGGCAACAATGAAGCACCAGAGACTACACATACACTCCCATCTTAAACAACAAGAAAGCCAGACAAACTACATTAAGTATCAGTTTTCAGGAACTAAACAACAGACATTTCAGGACTATGATTCCTGCAAAAAGGAAGTGAACAAAATTATCCCTATGTTTATCCTAGCTTACTGCCTAGAGCAGGCGTCCCCAAACTACGGCTCATGGGCTGCATGCGGCCCCCTGAGGCCATTTATCCGGCCCCACGCCGCACTTCAGGAAGGGGCACCTCTTTCATTGGTGGTCAGTGAGAGGAGCACAGTATGTGGCGGCCTTCCAATGGTCTGAGGGACAGTGAACTGGCCCCCTGTGTAAAAAGTTTGGGGACGCCTGGCCTAGAGGCAGTTTCCAGGCAGCAGAACAGCATGGGAGAATACAAATAGAGTTCATCGGTTTCACTGAGTTGAGGATACACAGATTGAAGTTCACGGTAGCCATGGTGGCTAAAATTTGCAGAACAAAGTATAGGGAAATACGGATCTGCATAGAAAACAACCACCACCACCACCGAAAAAAAAAAAAAAAAAAAAAAAAAAACGAAACAGAAAAAGGAACCTCAGAAACCGCAGGAGGATCTACGTCTTTTGCTGAGTACTAATTTGAGC